CCATCGGCCGCTTCCCGCCACTGCCCCGTGGAGCCGCCTTGTCCCGGGCGCCGTGAGGGGACGGGCACCCACGGATTAGCGAGGGACTCGGCCCGCCTGAGGGACGGGGCGGTGGCACTGCACTGTCCAGTTTCAGGCACTCTCCTAGCGGTGGCAGCTGTTGCATGCACGATGTGGCGCTCGCTCTGCTCCCGCCCTGAGGGGAATGGGATCCCCTAAGCGTTAAATTGAGGTCCAAGGGCAGTCTTAGTGTCATCACTTCTTCACGCGTAGGCTGTGGTACTCCCTCAGCCCTCTCAGAGGAGATGGGACCCCATGGCAGTTAAAGTATCCCCTCTGAGGGGAGTGGGGTGGTGGCGGCACTGTGGTACCCAGCTATAGTCCCTCAGGGACACCTCAGTACCAGAAGCTCTCCACCCATGGGCTGTGGTGCTCACTGAACACCCCTTGAGGGAATGGGCCTCCTGATGGATTAAATCAGCCCCTGTAATGGGGTGGTGGTGGCATTGCCCAGCTGGAGCCCCTTGGGGACATCTCAGCACTGGCAACATTCCATATTCCTCTGAGGGGAACAGGACCCCAAGGGCAAATGGCAGGACTTAATGACTTAAATCAGCCCCTCTGAGGGATGTGAGATGTAGCGGTTCTGACTTTTGCTTCAGCAGCTTTGGGGCCAGTCACCACACACAGGTGTGAGCACTAGGAAGGTTCAGCCTTCCCAAGGCGCCTACCACATATTCCCCCTTTAAAAACGTCATTTTCCCCCCAAAGTTCAGAAATTCAGGTTTGTTCAGGCCCTTGCCTCTCGGCAGTCAAACTGTCTGGGTTCTGTAATAAACCTGTGCCTTGAAGTTGGTAGAGCCACTAAAAACCATTTCAAAGCCGTTAACACCCATACCCTCACCCATTGAATTGTTTGTGAACACAGGAGCACACATTTTTCCTCTCAAGGGGAATAGTGGGGGAACCCCATTCCCCAAGAGCAGCCTCAGTGCTGGCAACTCCCACACATGGACTGTGATGCTCACTGAGCCCCCCATGAGGAGATGGGACCTCCAAGGGCTTAAATCGGTCCCTCTAAAGGGAATGCAGTGGTGGCACTGCCTGGCTGGAGCCCTTCTGAGGATGTTTTAGTGTCAGCAGCCCTCCATGCATGGGCTGTGGCACTCACTGTGCTCCTTCTGACGGATGAGACCCCCAAGGGCTCTCAAATGAGCCCCCCCATGAGGCTATGTTGGTGGCAGTGCTGCAGTGCCCAGCTGAAGCCACTCAGTGACACCTCAGCACCAGCATCTCTCCACACACAGGTTGTGGCACTCAGTGAGCCCTCTCTGAGGGGATGGAACACCCCATGACTAAAAATGGGGTTCCTCAAGAGCAGCCTCAGTGCTGGCAGCTCCTACACATGAGCTGTGGCATTCACTGTGACTCCTGTGAAGGGATGGGACCCCCAAGGGGCTAAACTAATCCCTCTAAGGGGCATGGGATGATGGCACTGTGGTGGAGGATGGAGCCCTCCAGGGGACAGCTCAGTGCCAGTAACTCTACTCACTGGCTGTGGTGCTCACTGAGCACCCCATGAGGCAATGGGACCCCAGAGGGTTTAAATCAGCCCCTGTAATGGGAATGGCATGGTGGTGGCACTGCAGTGTCCATCTGGAGCTTTCACAGGGACTCCTCAGCACTGTCAGCTCCCACACATGGCCTGTGGTGCTCTCTAAGCCCACTCTGAGGGGAACGGAACTCCCAAGGGCTAAAATTGTGCCCCTAAGGACTTAAATCAGCTCCTCTGAGGTGTTAGAATGGTGACAGCGCTGTGGCTCTCAGCTTCAGAACCCCACCTCAGTGCCAGCCACTTGCCACACACAGGTTGGGCCCACTCTGAGCAGAATGGGACCCAAAGAGGTTAAAATGGGTTCCCCAAGGACAATGGTGTGGTGACAGTGCTGTGGTGCCTGGCTTTAGCCCTTCCAGAGCCCCTTTGGCTCCAGCTGCTCTCCACATGCAGGCTCAGCACTCTCTGGGCTCCCCAAGGGCTTAAATCAGTCCCCTTAAGGGCGATGGAGTGGTGGCACTGTGCTGCAGCCTCCCTCCAAGGAACACTTCAGTGCTGGCAGCTCCCACACACAGGCTGTGGTACTCACCAAGCCCCCCATGAGGAATTGGGACCCCCAGGGGTTAAAGTGTGGTCCCCAAGGAGATGACAGTGTGCTGGCATCTCTCCACACACAGGCACTCACTGAGACCATGAAGGGATAGGACCCTGAGGGTTAAATCAGCCTCCCTAAGGGAAGTAGGGTGCTGGCATCATTGTGGCTCCCAGCTGCATCCTGTGAGGCAGCTGCCGCTCCAGCCCCTGTCCTTGTGGGAATGGGCTTATCCCTGTGGAACAAGCACTTGACACACAGTGGTTGGTGCTGCTGCTCCAGCCAGGGATTCCTCACCTGTCAGAAAACATAAAGGTGTTTTTTTCATCTCTTACCCGGAAAAAGCAGAAAGCCCCTCACCCTTTTTGTGGCAGCGGAGGCAGTTCGGGGTTCAGACCTTCCCACACGTCCTTTGCTCATCCTCTGCCTCTGGTGCCAGGCCTGGCTCTGCACTGGGCTGCAGCTTTGGATGGAGTGCTCACTGATATCCCACCCAGCCTGTGCTGGGAGGAGAGATCTTAATAAAGAGTCGTATTTCCTTCTATTTTTTTTTTTTTTTTTTGTAATCCCAGTTTGGTGATGAAAAGCCTCCCCGAGCTGGCCCAGGAATCCTTCCAGTGACACTGCAGAACAGACCCAGCCCTGACGTAGCAGGTATTTCTGCGGTCGAAGCATGAGCAATTCTGCCTAGAATAAATAGCTGGAACCCTCCCAAGACTCCTCAGATCCCTAGTCCAACTGAGCACCTCCTGCCCTGGGGGGTTTGCCCTGACACCATGTGCCAGGTTTTCTTCAGGACCCAGCTGACACTCCACTCCTGGGAGACTCTGCGTGTTTCCAGTTACCTAAGGGATGGCTGGTCCCCTGATGTGCCCTGTGGCTGCCCTGGGGAGGCTGGCAGAGCCTGGCTGGGGGGGAATCTGGGATTGATGTGCCCATAGAGCAGAGGAACAAAGGGAGCAGGTTGGAGAAGAGCTTTATTGGGAGATCCTGGACATAATAAATAAGGGTTACATTGGGAGATGAGGGACTGGGGTCACACTGTGCTCCATGGGGGCTGGAACCACTTCTGCCCTTCCGAGTAGGACACCACCCTGCATCCCATCTGCTCCATCCTGCTCCTTCCGCCCAGCAGGAAAGCCAGCCCGAGGGTCACTGCCTGCTGCCTTTTGGGATCAGGGCAGGGAATAACCTGGCAGAAATGGGAGCAAGGGAGTGTTTTGGGGAGCAGCATGGGGCAGAAGGGGTGGGAGGGCAGGGATGAGCAGACCCGGCTGTCACTGTGCCAGGGCCTGGATGATGTCCTTCACCAGCATGGTGCCAATGACCATCTTCTCGCTGTTGATGGTCAGCTGGGCCGTGGAGCCCTCCCGCCGCTCCAGGGTGATAAGCACCAGGCTCCCGCTCGTCACTGTCTTGGCCGCAAACCTGTTGGGTGGTGAACACAGGGCTTCAAGGCAAGCTGTCCCTTGTCACCCTCTGGTGCCATGAGATGCTCTGGTGGGGACAGGCAGGTGCCACCCATGGCCACTGTCACATTTGGGTTCATGCAGGCTCCTTGTCCTAAAGGAAGCCCTGAGTGTCCCCGCTGTGATTCGGGTGGGAACAGAGAGGTGACAGTTCCTGCCTGATCCAGGTATGGGGGTCCAGCTACCTGTACTCATTGCTGGCACCACAGGGAACGCGGCCCACGTTGGCAGCCGAGGTCACTTGCTGGACAATGGTGTGGTCACTTTGGCATTTCTCAGGCAGCATCAGCTTCTCTGTGATCTCACTCATGCCCATCAACTTCCCTAGAGCAGGTAACAGAGGCATCTGCCCATCTCTGGCCACACACCCTGCTGGGCATGGCTTTGACATGCCCAAAACAAGCCCCTCTAGCTCCCTGCGTTCAGGCTCCCCATGACATCCTGAGCTGGCTGCTCTGCTTGCTCTTGGTTCAGGATTCAGTGGATTTGGGAAAATCCTTCATAACCCTTCCTAGACTCATTCTCTTGTCCCTGCCTGGTGGCAACAGCCACGTCCCTGGGGATGGGCTCCTCTGAAGAGTGGCAGCAATGGGGCTGGGTGCTGCAGGGCACCAAGCACCCCCCACTAAACAGCCCCCATCCATGAGGTCAGGGTGGGGATGTGCTGATCCAGAAGCATGGGGATCCAGGGTATCACTCACCAGACACGGTTCTGGGAGTGCCAGGGGGGGCATGAGCCCTTCATGCTTTGTGGGGACCCAACAAGGCCACCTTGGCACCAGGATGGTCACCCCAGCCCACAGGCTGGGAGTGCAGGAGGGGGTGAAGGGAGCAGAGCTAGTCTAGGGGCCAGCCGAGCTGCCACTTACCCTCACCTGGCCGTGCCAGGTGCTCTAGGGCCACGGCGAGGGCGGCAGAGGGGACAAAATTGGGGGTGAGTGTCAGTGGTAGGTGCCCGTGCAGCACCCTGGCCCCGTCCCTGGCCCCACTCACCTTGCTCCTTCTTGAACTCGTTCTCGCTCATGAAAACCGGGGCCATGAGCTCCCCCACAGGTGGCTGGATGGAGACGTAGAACTGGCGTGTGTGGGTGCTGGGGAGACAGGCAGGTGAGAGGGGCACATGCCCAGAATATGTCCGCTCTCCATGTCCTGCTTCCCATCCCTGCCCTGGGCAGGGCTGACCGGGGGAAACTGTGGCACAAAAGGGCTCAGGGATGGGGGGAACCTGTCAGGCTGGACCTGGAGCTGCTGCTACCTCCTCCTCCCATGCAGGGAGGCCTGTGCTTATCCAGCTGTCCTCCAACCACCCCATGCCCATCTGAGTGTCTCCCCTGTAAGGACTCTGGTGCCTGTCCTGCTGTCCTCCACCCACTGGGATACCCCCTGCCCTGTTTCTGCTGTCCCCTGTCCCCTGCTATGTGGAGGGATATTAATACTTATCCCATTTTCCCCGTCTTTGGAGCACCTGATGCCCTGATCCCTGGGGACACTCATCCTGCCCTGCCCGGTGCCAGATGCTCACCACAGCTGGAAGTTTGCCGCCTGGGTGGAGTCACAGAAGTCGATGCCCATCACCACGCTGGCTGTGTCCCCTGGCGCCAGGCGCTCTGGAACCACAGGGCTGCCACTACATCCCACATTCCCACCCAACCCCTGTCCCCATTCTCCCACAGCATCACGGCCATGCCATGCCATGCTATACCGATCTCAGGGAACTCCTGTATCCGCATGCCGGATAGTGGCTTGGGTTCATTGACTCGCAGGTTCTTCACCTCGGTGTCGGTGTTGTTGGAGATCTGGATCTGGACGGCCACCATGTGGGGGTCTCCCGGGAAGGGCCGGCGGCTGAAGCAGTACTCAACTGCAAGCCCCTCGCCTGCCATGCGGTGCAGCAGCTCGTAGGTCTTCACCGCACTGAACGCTGGGCTCAACAGCTGCACCCAGGGACAGCAGCGGCTGCTGAGGGCTCCCTGCAACCCCTGTGGGTAGCAGAGGGCCCAGGAGCCCCCGCAGGTGACAGGGGGCCTGAGACCTCCCCAGGGAGGGCTTGGGGGACACTTACGGTGGGTGTCAGGGAGGTGTCGGTGAGAGTGAGGCCCTCCAGGTCAGTCACCAGGCTGGTGGAGATGATGCTGCTGGAGGGGATGGGCTGAGGAGGAGGAGGAGTGACTGCAGGGTGGGGAGAGGGGAGGAAAGGGTTAACAGAGCTCACAGCCCTATGGGGACAGCCACACAGGGACAGTTCTAGTGGCTCAGCTCCATGGGGACAATGGTATGGGGACAGCCCTGGTGGCACAGCTCCATGGGAACACCCACATGGGGACAGCCACATGGGGACAGACATGGTGGCACATTGCCATGGGGACAACTCCATGGGGGCAGCCATGTGGGGATAGCCCTGGTGGCATAACCCCATGGTGTAGGAGCCACACAAGGACAGCCCAGTGGCACAGCTCCATTGGTGTAGGAGCCCTGTAGGCTGTCCTTGTGCACTGCCACACAGGGACAATGCAATAGGCACAGCCACCTGTCCCACAGCCATCCTCTGGGGACAAGAACCTCTCACCACACCTGTCCTTGTCCCTCTGCAGCTCCCAAAGGACCCATGGAGTCCTGATTGCACTGGGATGAGTGCTCATGCCTCAGTTTCCCCAGCACCACCACTACGGCCATTTGCGTATTCCAGGCAGCCACTCACAGTCATCCAGGTCAAGCAGGGAGATCTCCTTGGAGCTGGCCTTGCTGCTGGGGGGCTGCAGGGGAGCAGAGATGGGGTGTTCAATAGGGGGTCCAAGTATCCCTGTGCAGCCCCCCATCCCAGCCCATCCCAGCCCTCACCACCTTCCTCTGCTTGGCCTCTGCCTCAGAGCCCGAGTCGGAGCCAGAGGAGCTGCTCTCGGAGGTGCTGGCCTCCTCTGATGAGGTTTCGGCATGGCCCTTCCTCCCTTGTGGGGCTTTCTTCTTGCCCTTCTTTGCCCCTTCTTCCTCCTCCTCTTCCTCGCTGGGGCTGCAGGGAGAGCCCAGTTCAGGGGGCTGGGGTGGGGGTTCTGCTAGGAGCAACCCCCTGCCTTCCCAGGGCATACCTGCCCGCGCTCCCTGAGACTGCCTTTCGGGAACCGTCCTTGTCCTTCCTCTTTGGCCTCTTCTCCTCCTCCTCCTCCTCCTCCTCCTTGTCCTCTGACTGCTCTCTGCTGTCTTCCTCCTCTTCCTCCTCCTCAGTGTCAGAGCTGGAGCTGCCAGAGCTGCTGCTGCTGCTGTGCTCTTCACTGCCGGACTCAGGCTCTGTGGGGGTACAGCTCAGCCCTGCTGCTATCCCACCACATTCCCCCATCTCCCACTTCATCCCACTACATCCTCCATCCTCTCACAGCCTCCTCACTCCTGCTGCTGCCTCTCCACTGCATCCTCCCACTGCATTCCACTGCATCCCCACTGCCCACCACTGCATCCCTCCACATCTTCTGCCATGTCCCTCCCATGATGGGGTGTCCCCATTTATGTCCTGTGTCCAATGCCCCACTATTGTGGCACCTGCCTGATGGCCACAGTGACCACTGCCCAATGTCCTCACCACTGTCTGCCGACTCTGTGGGCCCCGACTCGCCTTCTGAGTCAGAGTAGAAAGGCTTCTCCACCTTCTCCTTTCTCTTCTCCCGGCTCGTGCACTTGGTCCACTCAGGAACCTGCAGGCACAGGGTTGATGGAGCAGGGCCATCACCCATGACTGGGGGATCTAAACAGCCACCCTTATCCCCCCATCCTCAAGCGGATGTATGAGCTCTAGAGAGGGAATGGGGGCAGGTGAGCAGTACCTGGGCACCTTATGGGGCTCTTCCAAGACCTTGAGTCAGTGTCCCCACCTTGGCCCCTCCTCCCCCATGCACCCAGGGTGCTCCACGCACCTCCACATTCCTCACGGAGGGGTCAGGGGCCTCGTCCGGCCAGTCCGGCAGCTCCTGGTAACCCACAGCCTTAGCATTGAGCAGATGGGACAGGGAGCCCAGTTGGAAATGGTCCCGATCTACAACGAGGTGAGAGGAGGCAGCAACTCGGGGACAGCCATGCAGCACTGTGGTGACAGCTCACTCCATGCCAATGTGACAAGGGATGGGTACCTTTGAAAGAAGACTCCAAGATGGGAGCTGGTTTTTGGGCCAGGAAGAGCTTCTTGGCATACTTGTTGAGGGCCCCGCTCTTCTCGGTGGGCACAATGAGCTGGCGGATGAAGCGAGCCCGGTCACGGATG